GGCTGGTGCAGACCCAGCTGCCTTAGACAGATTCCCTGGGCCTGCATCTCCCGGCACCGGCTGCTTCTGGGCCCAGGAAGAGGCTGTGGCTCCCACCTTCCTTACACCCGCTGGGAGCACGCCTTGCACCAGCTGCACCTGCTTAGTGTTAGACGCTCTCAGATCTGCCCTTGCTTGCCTCATACCTCTGTGCCCGCACTGTGGCCAGGCCAGCTGAGTCCCTCCATCCGTGGATGCTCTCCTGCAGCTTGTGGTGCAGGGGTCATTCCTGCCGCTTGGCACCAGGTGGGGGGCATGTGCTTGTTGGGCAGCAAAGTGATGGGACCCTCAGGTGCCCTCCGGGAGCCTGAACCTCCTGACTGAGGAACACGGACAGACCACGTTTGCCGCACAGAGTGGTCGCTGCGCTTAGGCGTGGCTGTACACACGTTCTCAGCTCATCATCCTTTCCAGTAACTTTAAAAGCACATCCCTCAGGTCCTGATATATTTCCCTGGATTCATTTCACTTGGCTAGAGATTACACTGTGCTCAATGCCTTAATAAATCCCTGAAAGAAAGAAAACCCACACTGTGTGCAATGCCTTGCTGTGGCCCCCAACCACTGCTTAGGCCTCCCAACTTCTCCCCAGGCCAAGTACAGGGCCCTGGCTGCATTCTGGAAGTTCAAGACACCTAGTCCTCCGCAGGGGGTGGAAGAGTGCAAGGCCTGCCAGGTCAGATGGAGAAGCAGAACCTGTTGGTGCAGGCAGGGCAGGTCCTGACCAACCTGCATCAGAGGATGCACTGAGCTCCACAGGTCTGTGGGCAGGGGTCATGGGTCCTGGTGAAGGAAGTGTATCCTCAGGCCTGGGTTGTAGCAAGCTGTCTGCCCTTGGGTTCAAGAACCAGACTGTGGAGCCACAGGTGACCAGAGGGGGCCCCGGGGCTGAGCCACGAGGATACCCTCACTTTGCAGGAGCTGAAACTGACCGGTGTCCAGCGTTTGCCCCCACATGGGGCTACTCTTGCTTCTACTAAAAGATATAGCAGTTACCCCCTTATCCATGGGGGATACAGTCCCAGACCCCCAGTGGATGCCTAAAACCACAGATAACCTTACACATACTGTTTTTTCCTATACATACATACCTGTGAGTAAGTTTATGAATTAGGCACCTTAAGAGATTAACAATAATAAAATGTAACGGTTATACTGTAATGAAAGTTGTAAATGTGGTCTGTCTCACAATATCTTCTTTTTTTTTTTTTTTTTTTTTTTGAGACGGAGTCTTGCTCTGTCGCCCAGGCTGGAGTGCAGTGGCCGGATCTCAGCTCACTGCAAGCTCCGCCTCCCGGGTTTACGCCATTCTCCTGCCTCAGCCTCCCGAGTAGCTGGGACTACAGGCGCCCGCCATCTCACCCGGCTAGTTTTTTTGTATTTTTTAGTAGAGACGGGGTTTCACCGTGTTAGCCAGGATGGTCTCGATCTCCTGACCTCGTGATCCGCCCGTCTCGGCCTCCCAAAGTGCTGGGATTACAGGCTTGAGCCACCGCGCCCGGCCTCACAATATCTTCTTGTACTGTGTACTCATCTCTTCCAGGTGGCTGTTGACTCAGGGTAACTAAAGCTGCAGAGGGTGAAACTCAAGAGGTACTATTGTATATCTCTGTGGCTGCTGGTTTTGTTTTAATTAAGTAGCTTTGCTTTTTTTTTTTTTTTTAAAAGACTGACTCTTGCTGTGTTGCCCAGCCTGGAGTGGAGTGGCGTGATCTGGGCTCACTGCAACCTCTGCCTTCTGGGTTCAAGCAATTCTTTGGCCTCAGCCTCCCAAGCAGCTGGGACTACAGGCATGCGCCACCAAGCCCAGCTAATTTTTGCATTTTTACTGGAGACAGGGTTTCACCATATTGGCCAGGCTGGTCTCAAACTCCTGACCACCCACCTCAGCCTCCCAAAGTGCTGGGATTACAGCCGTGAGCCACCGTGCCCAGCCTGCTTATTTGTTTGTTTTAGAGACAGACTGGAGTGCTGTGGCATGACCGTAGCTCACTGCAGCCTCAAACTCTTGGCCTGAAGTGATCCTCCTGCCGCAGCCTCCCTAGTAGCTGGGACTACAGGCATGAATCACCATGCCTGGCTTTAATTTCCTTTCTAGTATTTACACAAACTACCATAAAATAATTTCAAATGATTTATACCAAAAAGACTGTTCTTGGTCATAATTAAGATATAATAACCCCACACATTTGGCAATTTTAAGTCTTACATTGATTGTATTCAATCAGATTTGAATAACTTGGAATTTGGATAAATGCCTTTTTTTTTTTTCCATTTTTTGTCTTTACAGAGGTAAGATAAAAATGTTTTTAATATGTGGAAGTATAAGCTTGTGAATACACCAAAGAAATTAAACCAAAGGATAGAAAAGAGGAATCTGGCCTAGTCACATGATACAATGTACAAAAATGTACAATAGTGCTTTCATCCATAAATCATTCAACCTGGGAAGATAACTCAAAATGTTTAACAACCAGAACAGTAACATTAAATAATATATAGATAATACAAATAAAAAATCTAAATTTTATAAGTAAACATGAATATTTTAAAACTGCTTACCAAGTAATACAAGTTCTATCAAACCACTCATCAAATCATTCTAATTCCAAGAAAAATACTATACACATGAATTTTTGTTTTTGTTTTTGTTTGAGACGGAGTCTCGCTGTGTCGCCCAGGCTGGAGTGCAGTGGTCGGATCTCAGCTCACTGCAAGCTCCGCCTCCCGGGTTTACGTCATTTTCCTGCCTCAGCCTCCCGAGTAGCTGGGACTACAGGCGCCCACCACCTCGCCCGGCTAGTTTTTTTGTATTTTTTAGTAGAGACGGGGTTTCACCGTGTTAGCCAGGATGGTCTCGATCTCCTGACCTCGTGATCCGCCCGTCTCGGCCTCCCAATGTGCTGGGATTACACTGCACCCGGCCGCAACACATGAATTCTTAAAGGATTACAGGTTTATTGCCAAAAGGAGAAAAATACACAGAAGAGTAGAAAAACAATTTTTCCTAGTGCTACAGATTCCTCCTCAGTATTTTGGTATTCATTCTGTATTTTTTTCAGAGTTTAACTGATGTCATATATGAAATGTTTATCCTACTCTTTTCATTAAGCATAAAACATTTTTTGCAGATGCCTTCCTTCTGTTCTCAGCTACAATAACTCAAACGTAGAAATGAAGGAAGACCACCCAAATGAGAAACAGTATTCACGGCTTGCTCCAGCAAGGGAGTCAGAGACATCACAGGTGTGGGCAGGCGCAAGGGCCAGGGGATGGAAAACAGGGAAGGCTCCAGGTGGTTCTGACTGCAGGCTGTTGGAAACGAGGTGAGCTAACAAGCAGGATGTTTTCTGTGACTGGCTTGGGGAGCATATCCCTCTTTCGTGGGTTGGCTCTGACATGGGGAGGGTGGTACAGAAAATAGAGGAGCAAGCAGTCCTGACTACATCCTTCCCACACAGCCAACTGCCCGATTACTGCAGAGGCTGCAGTTTCTTGTCATTCGTTATCCGACCATTGTCTATTGGCATACTGTCTCTCAATTTTTTTTTTTTTTTCTGGTAACTACTTACTGTACAAAAGTTGGAGAAAATTTAAAAATTAGCATTACCTACAACCTTAGCCACACACACACACACACACACACACACACCAGAAAATAATGCCGGTGTCACAGAATTCAAACGATGTACTGTAATTTTGTAGCCTTGCCTCTACACAGCAGGGTGTCACTTCAAACTCAAGTTCTTGCTGATAGAACTGCATAAGGGTCCGTGCCATTCTTCAGAACACTGATTTCCATTTCTTCCTGGTATACTTCAGGGAACACTAGGGAACGAATAGTAAATCACCTGGGTGAAGGGATTCCTTCCTTGGGGTAGCAGTATTGTCAGGTTGCTTTCCACGGTTTTGCATTTGAATTTGACCGTTCTCCCAGCTTCCTGTAAGAGGGGTAGCTCTCCCCGCGCCGTTGTCAGGCTTGGGTGTTTTCTTCACCGGGATGGTTTCTGCTGTTAAAAGCGAGTGTCGGCCGGGTGCAGTGGCTCACGTCTGTAATCCCGGTACTTTGGGAAGCCGAGGCGGGCAGATCACCACACGTCAGGAGTTCGAGACCAGCCTGGCCAACATGGAGAAACACCGTCTCTACTAAAACTACAAAAATTAGCTGGGCTTGGTGGCGGGCACCCGTAATCCCAGCTACTCGGGAGGCTGAGGCAGGAGAATCATGCCACTGCACTCCAGCCTGGGCGACACAGCAAGACTCTTGTCTCCAAAAAAAAAAAAAAAAAAAAAAAAAGCTCGCTTTTTAATTTTTCACTGTGCAAAAGTTGGAAAAAAAAAAAACATAAATTAAAATTATAACCCTAGACACGGGGTTGTAGGATTGGAGATAATTTTAAATTTTTTTTTGTATTTTATTTTCCAACAAGGCTACAACCCTAAGCCACGCAGGGTTGCCGCGAGAGCGTCGGGCTGCGGGGGCGCCTCCGCCCTCCGTAGGGTGGGCCTGGGACGCTCCCGGGGCGGCAGGGGGCCGGCTTCGTGCTCTCCGGGAAGCTTGGGTCGGCTGAGCCCCTCCGTCTCCCCGGATTCCTCCCCGGGCCCCGGTTCAAAGGCTAACTGTGCGCTGCTGCCCCAAAGCACGGCAGCGCAGGCCGGGCAGGGCGGCCCCTCGCCCCGCTCCGCGTGGTGCAAGAGCCCAAAGAACTCGTCCGCGGAGGCCCTGCCGTCTCAACTCCAGTCTCCCTAGGGCCGGAAGCCGCTGCCTTAGGAAGATGAGGGCGCTGCCCTGGTCAGACGGCACGTCTGCGACCCGGCATCCCGCACCCACCGGGACCCAGGACTCCTTCGACGTCGGAGGGGCCCAGACGACCAGCGAGAGGCGCGGTAGGCTAGAGGGACCCCAGTGCGCAGGGGCGGGCCGTGGCTGCCGAAGCGAAGAGTATACGCGCATGCGAGGCGGCGTAGGGGACTAGAGCGTCGCGAGCGCGTACGTGGGGCGGGGCGCGGCGCGGCGGGACAAATGCAGAGCGCGCGCGCTTCGCTAGCTGGCTACTGCACAGGCAAGGATGGCGCCTCCTCAGCCTTGTCGGGTCCTGTGCTGCTGCAGCTGCCGCCTCTTCCAGGCGCACCAGGTCTGGCGGGTGCCGGCCCCCTCCTTCTCCACCGGCGCGGGGACAGTGGACGGGAAATGGCGGGGCCGTGGGTGCTGTCTCGAGTGGCTCCGGGATGCACCTGGGCCCGAAGGAGTGCAGGGACCGCTGAGGGCGGGTCTCATTGGGGTCGCCCCCGCATAACGTCGTTCTGGGCTTTTTGTTTGGTTCGTGTACAAACCAGACGTAGTGGTTTCTGCAGAGGTGGCCTCTCGTGAATTGTAGCAGGTCGTGGGAGAACCCGGTTGAGGATAGCGTCCTTTACGCAGAGCCTACCCCACGAGGTGGCCCTGTCTCAGTTACAGTGAGAGGGGAGGACGGTTCTTAGAGCCCGGGCGCGCCGCGGCGGCGTCCCTGCTCCACTCCTGGGCGCCCTCTCCGTTGCCCCGCGCCTCTGCCGCCGTTCTTTTCCGCGGGGCCAGGGACTTAATACGCCTGTTCGCCGACGCGTGAAACACGGGCCCCCGAGTCTTAAAGACAGTTAATCTGTGTTTCTAGAACATATTTGCCTCCCTGACTTTCAGCGTGCGAGATAGAGGATGCCGCTTAACCTTTTCCGGATCGCACCTGTCTCCGTGCTGGATATCACTTAACCCTGCAGGCAGCGTATCCGCTTCGGATAGTCCCTCCCTCCTCATTATTGCTAATCTGCTCTGCCCTGAGAAAGAATAGCATCAGACTTCTCTAAGTCGTATGTTAAAAAGTCAGCAAGATGCTGAGGATGTGTCTGTAACCTTGCATTTAATGCTAAGCGTTTGTAAGGGCCATTTTAAGGGCTCAGAAAGTTTTTACTTGTTTTCTTTCAGGAGCTGGGTCCTAAGAGTTGCAAATAAAGGGAGATCATTTGTTTTTTTAAATTATTACACGTCTAATGTTTCATGCTTTTTTAAAAAACAAATTTTCCATTTATTTTTATTTCCTTTTTTAGTTTTTGAGATGGAGTCTCATGTCTCACTCTGTCACCAGGCTGGAGTGCAGTGGCTCGATCTCGTTTAGCTACAACCTCCGCCTCCCAGGTTCAAACGATTCTTCTGCCTGAGCCTCCTGAATAGCTTGGACTACAGGCGCCCGCCACCAAGCCCAGTTAAATTTTGTGTTTTTAGTATTGGCCAGGAAGGTCTCCATCTCTTGACCTCGTGATCCACCCGCCTCAGCCTCCCGGAGTGCTGGGATTACAGACGTGAGCCACTGCGCCCGGCCTCTGTTTCCTTGTTTGTTTCCCTGTTTCACTCTTCCATATTCACCAGTGTTATTTTTTTATTTACTTATTTATTTTGAGACAAGGTCTGGCATTATCGCCCAGATTGGAGTGCAGTGGTAACAATCACAGCTTGCTGCAACCTGCACCTCCCGAGCTCAGCTGATCCACCTCAGCCTCCTACGTAGCTGGTACTATGGGTGCGGCCACCATCCCCAGCTAATTTTTATATTTTTTGTAGAAATGGGGTTTTCGGCCGTGTTGCCCAGGCTGGGGCAAGTGTTCTGCCCGCCTTGGCTTCCAAAGTGCCGGGATTACAGGTGTGAGCCAGCGCCCCTGACCCTTATGGTCATTTTCAACCCTATGAAATGTGAGTTGCCTGGCCCCTGTGGCTCACACCCATAATCCCAGCACTTTGGGAAGCCCACTAGGGCAGATCACTTGAGCTCAGAAGTTCCAGACCAGCCTGGGCAACGTAGCGAGACCTTGTCTATACTAAAATTCAAAATAAAATAGCCAGATGTGGTGGCGTGCATCTCTAGTCCCAGCTACTCATGGGCACTGAGACAGGAGAATCGCTTCAGATCAGGAGGCAGAGGTTGCAGTGAGCCGCGTTCGCACCACTGGACTCCAGCCTGGGCAACAGAGCCAGACCCTGTCTCAAAAACAAAGAAAAATTACTTGAAACCAAAGAGGATGTTGACCATTTTAATTGCAAGTCAGCTGGGTACTACTTTAACACGTTTAACTTCAACCACCTTTGACTTAGGCATCATTCCCATCTTACACGAGAATTCCAGAATCCACAGAAATCAAGTGGTTTCTCCATCTAGTAAGTGTCAGAACCATACTATCTCAGCAGTTCGCAGAGTTCATCCCTTCACCAGGTACTGTGAGTCCTAAACTTTTAAAAATGCTTTTCTTGTCCGGGCACGGTGGCTCACACCTGTAATCCCAGCACTTCGGGAGGCCAAGGTGGGCAGATCACGAGGTCAGGAGTTAGAGACCAACCTGGGCAACATGGTGAAACCCTGTCTCTACTAAAAAGACAAAAAATATAGGGCATGGTGGTGCGCACCTGTAATCCCAGCTACTTGGGAGGCTGAGACAGGAGAATCACTTGCATCCAGGAGGCAGAGGTTACAGAGAGCCGAGATGATGCAACAACACTCCAGCCTGGGTGACCAATACTGTCTCAAAAAAAAAAAAATGCTTACTTGCTTACATACTCATAGAAAATTCACAGTTTTATTGGTGTTTTAAGGTAGAAGCTGAGAAGTAAAATTGCTAAGTCATTCCCCATTTCCATTTTTGGTAGGTGCTCATTGTCCTCAGAATCCTTTTGGATACTTCCCCCGAAAACCTCATGATTTTGTGCTAGGATCATATTAATCGTATTAATGTTAACGAATTAACCTAGACATCTTTGTGATGTTAAACATGATCTATTACATTTCTTCAAGTAACCTTGGTATCCCTTGGTAACATTTTATTTTTTGCTATTATAAATGGACTCTTTATCCATTATGTGTTCTAACTAGATGTCTGCTCATATAAAACCTATGTTAACTTTTGAAGGTATCTTAATTTTGTACCTAACCACCATATTAGATTGTCTGGTTTTAGCAGCTTTTCATTTTGTTGGTTTTCGGATAAAAAATTATATCAGGTAGCACCTGGGCATGGTGGCTCACACCTTTAATCCCAGTGCTTTGTGAGGCCGAGGTGGGTGGGTCACTTGAGGTCAGGAGTTTGAGACCAGCCTGACCAACATGATGAAACCCTGTCTCTGCTAAAACTACAAAATTAGCCGGGTGTGGTGGCACATACCTGTAATCCCAGCTACTTGGGAGACTGAGGCAGGAGAATCGCTTGAACCTGGAAGGCGGAGGTTGCAGTGAGCCAAGATCTCACCACTGTACTCCAGCCTGGGCAACAGAGTGAGACTCTGTCTCAAAAAAAAATTATATCGGGTATTATAATTATATCGATAAATAATGATAGGGTTTTGCCCTTCTTTCCAATTTTTATATCTCTTACAACTTTCTTCTAATTCCATTGGGTAGTACATCCAGAAAAAAATGGTAAATAATAGTGGGCAACCCTTCCAGGTGGAACGCTGGTAGAGACTCTGCAGCATTAGAGCTGGGTTTAAGGCATTTTATCATGTTAAGAGAGTACACATCTACTCAGGTTTAACAAGAACTGAAAATGTTATGGAATTTTTTTTACACCCAGGTTTAACAAGAATTGAAAATAAATATGGAATTTTTTTTTAGAGTTTCCACTTGGGTTTTTCAGAGTTTCTTTGTTTGTTTGGGTTTGGTTTTGAGAGACAGGCTCTTGCTCTGCTACCCAGGCTGGCCTCAAACTCCTGGGCTCAAGTAGTCCTGGCCTGCCTGGTCGCTGAGACGACAGGCTCAAGCCACTGCACCCCGCCCAACTTGATTGTGTTTCGTGTAGATAGCCAGTTTTCTCAGCACCAACCCAGACTTGTTAAACAGTCTGTTCTTTTCTCACTCTTAAAGTCCACCTTTATGATTATGATAGGCTAAATTTTTACACATGTGTTGGTTTGTTTCTGGACTCTTTCCATCCATTTTTAAAATTATTTGGGGCCAGGGCCAGGCACGGTGGCTCTCGCCTGTAATCCCAGCACTTTGGGAGGCCAAGGCAGGTGGATCACGAGGTCAGGAGATGGAGACCATCCTGGCTAACACAGTGAAACCTTGTCTCTACTAAAAATACAAAAAATTAGCCGGTCATGGTGGGCACCTGTAGTCCCAGCTACATGGGAGGCTGAGGCAGGGGAATGGCGTGAACCCGGGAGGTGGAGCTTGCGGTGAGCTGAGATCGCGCCACTGCACTCCAGCCTGGGCAACAGAGTGAGACTCCGTCTCAAAAAAAAAAAAAAATTCTTTCGGGCCAGGCATGGTGGCTCATGCCTGTAATCCCAGCACTGTGGGAGGCCAAGGCAGGTGGATCACTTGAGGTCAAGAGTTTGAGACCAGCCTGGTCAACATGGTGAAACCCCATCTCTAGTAAAATGCAAAAATTAGCTGGACCTGGTGGTACGCACCTGTAATCCCAGCTACTTGGGATTGAAAAAAAGAAATTTCAGATCCGATTCCATTTTGCTGTTTGTTTGTTTATTTGAGATGAAGTCTCACTCTGTCACATAGGCTGGAGTGCAGTGGCGCAGTCTCGTCTCATTGCAGCCTCCATCTCCTGGGTTCAAGCGATTCTCCTGCCTCAGCCTCCTGAGTAGCTGGGATTACAGGTGCCGCCACCGCGCCTGGCTAATTTTTGTATATTTAGTAGAGACAGGGTTCACCATGTTGATCAAGCTGGTCTCGACCGCCTGACCTAGTGATCCGCCCATCTTGGCCTCCCAAAGGGAGATTACAGGTGTGAGCCACCGGGCCCAGCCCAATTCCATTTTGTTTTAAATAATTATCTGAGTTGTATTTCTGAAATTTCATTGCAGGTAAAAAAGAGTGCCAAGTGGACATGCAAAGCCTGTGGAGAGAAGCAGTCCTTTTTGCGGGTGAGTCTCCAAAACAGAAAGCAGGTGGGACGCAGGCCTGCAGTGAGCCCTTCCAGGGAGTCCCAGAATGCCACAGCTGGGATCATCCTCTCTCACACAAAGTTCCCAGACACGGAGCTCCTGCTTCTGAGCTTCCTGTTCCTTCAGGAAGTGAAATGGATGGAGTGGTGTCTGGAAAGGTACTGCCATTTGATTCTTCATTCAGCAAGTATTTCTTGAGTACCTTCTGTGTGCCAAGCATGAGGGAAACAGTGGAAAGTAAGCCCATTGTCATTCTTGCCCTCACAGATGCCCTTGTGTGGAAGGGGAAGAGAAACTAATGCACACACGCTTCTATATAATTTAAAACTCGGCTGAGCACAAGGAAATGAAAGCACCAGGGACTGTGAGAAGATGACGGAGGAATCAGGGCAGCTGGGGAAGGGCAGAGGCTGGTGGTGGAGGTGGGGGTGTGGGAGAGTGGGCTCAAGAAGTGCAGGCAGGCAGGGGCAGGCTGTAAATGCTCTTATCCAGCTGTTTGCATCTGGCATTGAGCACATCTTTTCAGTCCATCCATATTCCCCCTCCTGAACTCTGAAGACCCCAAACTGTCCTACATCCTTTGCCTTACTGAACTTGCTCTTTTCCTGCTCCAGCCCCAGTGCCGCCTCTCCCTTCGTCTCTCATCTTTCCTCTTCTCCTACAGCCGTGTGCTTTCTTTCTGACCTGAAGCCTAAATTTGCTCCCTCTTGGACCTTTGTGCTCTCTGTGGAGTTCCCCTCCCTTTTCTCAGTATCCTATGGAAGTTATATGATCATGTGTTTATGTGCAGATTGTCCATCTAAGACTAGTTCCATGAGAACAGAGGCTTTTTCTTTACTGTTGTATCCTCAGCACCTAGCACAGTGCTTGGTGTTTGTTGAGTGAGTGAGTAACGGGTCCAACCTTGTTGGGCATTTAGGTTGATTTCCCTTTTGACTGTTAGGCACAACTCTACAGTGAAGCTTTTTACAAAAACCTCTTTATCCACGTGACCGGCTGTTTACTGTTTATTTAGGACATAGTCCTAGAAGTTAAATTGCCGGTTTTTGGGGGGAGGGGGGTGAAGGGGTGGCCTGCCCCTCCACACCTGTGGGTGTTTCTCGTTAGGTGGAACGAGAGACTTGAGAAAAGAAAGAAGACACAGAGACAAAGTATAGAGAAAGAAAAGCGGGGGCCCAGGGGACCGGCGCTCAGCTTACAGAGGACCCACGCCGGCACCGGTCTCTGAGTTCCCTTAGTATTCATTGATAATTATCTCTACCATCTTAAAGATAAGGGAGTGGCAGGACAATAGGATCGTTTTTAGGGAGGAAATCAGCAGTAAGACATAAGAACGAGGATCTCTGTGACATGAATAAGTAAAGGAAAATCCTGTGCCTTGAGATAAACCTTTTAGCGGCATTGTTTCATCCTATCACATGGAGATAAACCTTGGACAATACCTAGCTTTTCTAGGAACAAAGACACGCCCTGCACGCCCAAAATCCATTAAACCTTGAGTTACCACAGCACATGTCTCTTGCAAGGACAAGGTTGGGAGTAGGGTCACAGATTAACAGCATCTCAAATACAGAACAAAATGGAGTCTCTCATGTCTACTTCTTTCTATATAGACACAGTAACAGGCTGATCTCTTTCTTTTCCCCACGGTGGGGGAAGTTTTTTTTTTGAGATGGAGTCTCACTCTATCACCCAGGCTGGAGTGTAATGGTACGATCTTGGCTCACTGCAACCTTCGCCTCCCAGGTTCAAGCGATTCTCCTGCCTCAGCCTCCTGAGTATGTGGGACTACAGGTGCGTGCCACCTCGCCCAGCTAATTTGTTTTTTGAATGTTTAGTAGAGATGGCGTCTCACCATGTTGGCCAGGCTGGTCTCAAATTCCAGACCTCAAGTGATCCACCTGCCGTTGATGGTGCCTTCACTTGATATTTTTTTTTATTTTTTTTGAGACAGAGTCTCCCTCTGTCACCCAGGCTGGAGTGCAGTGGCGTGAACTCGGCTCACTGCAAACTCCACCTCCCGGGTTCACGCCATTCTCCTGCCTCAGCCTCCCGAGTAGCTGGGACTACAGGTGCCCGCCACCTCGCCCAGCTAAGTTTTTTGTATTTTTTAGTAGAGGCGGGGTTTCACTGTGTTAGCCAGGATGGTCTCGATCTCCTGACCCCATGATCCACCTGCCTTGGCCTCCCAAAGTGCGGGGATTACAGGCGTGAACCACCGGTGCCCAGCTGATTTTTTTTTTTTTTTAAAGGGAAAAAAAAAACACTTCAGAATGGGTTCAGCAAAGTTAAAAACAAGAAAAAGTGCTGGCAAGGTAATGAGATCTCTTAGGGAATCCAAGGGGCAGAACTTCATTCCTGATGCCTTGAAAAACTAGCCCCAAGAACTGAAAAGCTGCCAACAAGCCAGGCATCAGCTTTTCCTCCCATCACCCAGCTTCTCCCTGTATCTTTGTTCTATTTTCTCCTCCCCTTCCCTTTCTGTTTCTCCCCAGACTGTTCAGTCACATTCTCTGCTCCAAGTCCACAGAATCTCATTCCAAGCCAACTGGAAGAGGTGAGTCCCAGTTATAAATTCCTAGGAGAAGCAATCTGGTTGGCCCAGGCTGATTCGGATGTCCACCTCTGGTCCAGTCAACTGGGATTGGGTCTCAGTAGAGAGGGGCTGGCTTACCAGGTAGGCAGACACCCCACATGGTGAGCATGGCTTGTTTGAGATGTATTTCTGCATTCTCCTTGAGTAAGGCTTCTTATCCCCTCGGTGCTTCTGTGCTGTGTGTGGTATATGGTGTATGGCTGACTAGGCCACAGTAACAAACACACCAAAATTGTGCTGGCTTCATGCAATAGACGTTTCTCTTGCTCTCGTATCAGTCCTGGGAAGACGATAAGGACAGCAGCGTGCTGCCCTTGATGTGGTTGCTTGGGGATCCAAGTTCCTGCCATCTTGGGCTTCTTTTATTCCCTGAGGCTCATCTGTAGCTGCTTCTAGCGACTGAGAAAGGCAAGTGCGTGGAGGAGCTGCTGGAGGCTTTGAGGGCCAGGCTGGGAAACAACTGACACTGCCATGGAAAGAGGCTGGTTTCGTGGCCACCCTGACCACATGCACACTGGGAAATGAAGTCTAGTTTTGTGCCCACATCGGGAAGAATGCGCTTCGGTATCCAGCCAGCAGTCCCTGCCCTATGGAAGGGCACACTGCTTCTGGTTATGCCAGCCTGGTCTTTTTCAGCTTTGCCATTTCCCCTCCAGCTGCTCTCCTCCGTTCTCACTTGAATGTGCTCCAGACAGGGCTGCACTCCCCACCTGTCCATTACAATTGCTTGTGTCGGAGTCGGCAGCAGTCTCCATGCCGCTAAAAACAATGGTTGGTTCTCAGTTCTCACTTGACACACTGCTGCCAGGCACTGGGAGTCCACCAGAATTCTTTCCTCACGGGACATCAAGAATACTCCTGCCAGCGGGGTGTTGAGGAAGAGTGGACACATACAGTGTGTGCGTCTGATCGCAGATGTGCGCCATTGTCCCAGCAGACTTCACTTACAAAACACAAGTTCAGATTGTTAAGAATTTCAAGAAGGCGACAGCAGAGCAGATCTCATACCTGTAAAGCTGATTCTGCCTGTAGTAGGACCCATACTCTCAAGTTTCATTTCTTACCATCTTCCCCTTAGATCACTCAGCTCCAGCCATACTGGCCTCTTCACTCTTCCTCCAAAATTCCAGGCTCAGGGTCTTCACACTCATTTTCATATCATTGCTTCTGCTGGAATGTTCTTCCCCTAGACAGCCATGTGGCTTGCTCCTTCGTATCTTCCTGTTTGTGCTCAAACCTTACCTTCTTAGGGATCCATTCCTTGACCACTTTGAACACCTTGTGTAAAACGGTATGCTCTTTCCTGGCCTTGTCTTTCTCAGGAGCACGTATTAGCGTCTGATATGTTACATGCCTCACTGTTTCTTTCCTGTCTCTTCGCACTTGAATGTGAGTTCCATGATGACAGGGAGTCTTGTCTGTTCCTGTGTCATCTGCCCTTAGATGAGGCCTGGCACATTAGTTGGTACTCAGTAAATACATGTTGGATGAATTTGTGACTGCTAAGTGGAAAAAATTTATTTTGTATTCCTTTGATTATCAGTGAAGGTAAGTAGCATTTCATATATTTTTTGGTGGTATGTTATACAATGTGGCAATATGTGTTACTTCTCTTATGACCTTTTTATTCATGTTCACTAACCATTTTGTGTAGGGCTTTGGGTTGAGTTTGGCTTCAATAGGTAGAGTTCAGGGTGCTTGCGGGATAGCCACATAGATCTAAAGTATTAGTTCCAGAGACGGTTGGTTTGTAAATGATTCTAGAGACAGCAGTCAGTCATTAGGATTCCTACGTGCTGCTTTAGGGGTCTTTGGGCCTTGCAGAATATAGCTTTGTCCTCCCCAAGGTGTATCTCAAATGGATCTGTTTCTCAACATTCTGCCAACACTTTTTTTTTTTTTTTTTTTTTTTTTTTGAGACGGAGTCTCCCTGTGTCGCCCAGGGTGGAGTGCAGTGGCCAGATCTCAGCTCACTACAAGCTCCGCCTCCCGGGTTCACGCCATTCTCCTGCCTCAACCTCCCGAGTAGCTGGGACTACAGGCGCCCGCCACCACACCCGGCTAGTTTTTTGTATTTTTTAGTAGAGACGGGGTTTCACCGTGTTAGCCAGGATGGTCTCGATCTCCTGACCTTGTGATTCGCCCGTCTTGGCCTCCCAAAGTGCTGGGATTACAGGCTTGAGCCACCGCGCCCAGCCAACACTTTTTAAATGTAATATATTTTTTGGTTTTTCAGGCTTATGGTGAAGGCTCTGGTGCTGACTGTAGACGCCATGTCCAAAAATTAAATCTACTACAGGGACAGGTTTCAGAGCTGCCACTCAGGTACAGTTGTTTGAGAAGAGTGTGGTTGTCTTGCCCTGTTTTCGTCTTGACTGGGTGATAGAAGTACACAGTGGAGAAGTCCCTTAGACACCCATGTCTCACAATATGGCAGTCAAACACGCTGAGCAGTTCTCTCACTGAAAATAAAACACCAGCTGTTTTACATGCACGGATGAGCTGACTAGAAAGAAAGGAACTCTCGGCCGGGAGCGGTGGCTCATGCTTGTAGTCCCAGCACTTTGGGAGGCCGAGGCGGGCCCATCACGAGGTCAGGAGTGCGAGACCAGCCTGGCCAGCATGGTGAAACCCCGACTATACTAAAAATACAAAAAAAGTAGCCGGGCATGGTGGCATGCACCTGTAATCCCAGCTACTCAGGAGGCTGAGATAGGAGAATCACTTGACCCCAGGCAATGGAGGTTGCAGTGAGCCAAGATTGCACCACTGCACTCCAGCCAGGATGACAGAATGAGACTATCTCAAAAAAAAAAAAAAAGAAAAGAAAAAAAAAAGGTAAGTAAGTAACTCTCAAGAGGTCAAAAATGAAGGAGAAGCTGGTCCGATGGTAGTGGGTTATCAGAACTTATTAACATTAGTGTCACTAAAGTTGATATACAACTTGCACTGCTAAATTTAACTGGCTTTAAAAAAAAAAAAAAAAAAGTGGAAGCCAGAATCCAGAGAGGAAGCACCTGAGCTGCTAGGGTGGTTGAAGCCGGGTGCTCTGGAGCCTCCAGTTAGATGGCTGGGAGGGGTGCAGGAGACCCTCAGAAGACAAAACGTACGGCCCGGTCAGTGTGGGAAGACCAGTGGGATACCTCCTAACAAAACCAAGCCCCTGGAGGACTGCACCCTCTGTGTACAAATGAACTAGATCCCCTCTGCAGCGGGCAGCCTGCCTGTATTGACCTTGGCAATGGCTGAAGAGGGGGAAATAGCTCTAAGATTTTGGAAATAAAAGGAAGTTGTTGCATGGTTTTTCATCCTTTTACATACCCTGTGTGAAAAGCCTCCAGCGGAAAATTTATCTTCTAATTGTCCCAGCGAGCAGAGGTGAATGCAGCTCCTCTCTGCAGCAATATATCTTCAATTGCCGGGCCTTAAAGAATTCCCACAGAAAAAGTTCCAAGTAGCATGTACTCAGGAGTTTAAAATCATTTAACATTCAAGGAAATATGTCACCAGGAGCAAAAGATAGCAGAACAGCAGTCCGAAAAGTCAGACCCATAAAGACTTCAGAATACATGATATTGCATGTTTAATATACTTAATAAAATAAAAGAAGTGGGTGATAAGATGAGGGACTTCAAAAAATAGGTGTATTTGAGAGCTTGTTTGGAGGTTCTAGCAGGAGGGTGCAGCTACTCACATACCCTGGACCGAAGACCGCTCCTCCTCTATTGGAGGTGGTGGTCCTCTTCAGCCAAGCGCACAGCTTCAGGAGGGACGCACGTGGAGCGGTGAGGGAGGACGGGGACACCAGCCAGATGAGCTAACCAACCTTGGTGACTGATGGGGTGACAGATACTGCAGCCAGATCGCCCTCATCCAAAAAAATAGGTGTATTTGAAAAAGAACCAAAAAGAGGCCAGGTGCAGTGGCTCACACCTGTAATCCCAGCACTTTGAGAGGCCAAAGCAGGCGGATTATTTGAGGTCAGGAGTTCAAGACCCAGCCTGGCCAACATAGTGAAACTCCGCCTCTACTAAAAATACAAAAGTTAATTGGGTGTGGTGGCACGTGCCTGTAATCCCAGCTACTCTGGAGGCTGAGGCATAAGAATCGCTTGAGCCTGGGAGGTGGAGGTTGTAATGAGCCAGCCTCCACCTCCCAGGCTCAAGTGAGGCCTGCAACAGAGTAAGACTCTGTCTTAAAAAAAAAAAAAAAGCCGGGCGCGGTGGCTCAAGCCTGTAATCCCAGCACTTTGGGAGGCCGAGACGGGGGGCTTTTGGGGGCGGATCAGGAGGTCAGGAGATCGAGACCATCCTGGCTAACATGGTGAAACCCCGTCTCTACTAAAAAATACAAAAAACTAGCTGGGCGAGGTGGCGGGTGCCTGTAGTCCCAGCTACTTGGGAGGCTGAGGCAGGAGAATGGCGGGAACCCGGGAGGCGGAGCTTGCAGTGAGCTGAGATCTGGCCACTGCACTCCAGCCTGGGTGACAGAGCAAGACTCTGTCTCAAAAAAACAAAAAACAAAAACAAAAAACAAAGAGTTTGCAGAACTTAAAAGTATAATTACTAAAATTAAAAATCCAGTTTAGGCCAGGCATAGTAGCTCATGCCTGTAATCCTAGTACTTTGGGAGGCCAAGGCAGGCAGATCACTTGAGGTCAGGAGTTCATGACCAGCTTGGCCAACATAGTGAAACCCCATCTCTACTAAAAATACAAAAATTAGCTGAAAATCACTTGAACCCAGAAGGCAGAGGTTGTGGTGAGCCAAGATTGCGCCACTGCACACCAGCCTGGGTGACAGAGTAAGACTCCATCTCAAAAAAAAAAAAAAAGAAATTAAAAATTCAGTGGACACGTTAAACAGATTAAATGCAGCTAAGAGAGAATTAGTGAAATGGAAGATAAATCTAAAAAATTATTCACAGTGCAACACAGAAAAATGGAAAAGTAGAAAATATAAGGGAAAGTTGAGGGACATGGAGGTTACAGAGGAGAGTTCTAGCAAAAGATAATTAAGAGAATGGAGCAAAAGCAATAACTGAAGAGATAAGAGCAGCATTTTCCAGAATCAAAGACATAACATTTTTAGATTAAGGAAACGCAGTAAATACCAAACTGGATAAAACCATTATTTTATTTGCAAATAGCATGATTGTGTATGTAGGAAATCCTAATGAATCTACAAAAAAGCTATTGGAACTAATAATTTAGCAAGATCACAAGGATACAAGGTCAACATACAAAATTAAATTGTATTTCTTTTTTTTTTTTTTTTTTTTGAGACGGAGTCTGGCTCTGTCGCCCAGGCTGGAGTGCAGTGGCCGGATCTCAGCTCACTGCAAGCTCCGCCTCCCGGGTTTACGCCATTCTCCTGCCTCAGCCTCCCGAGTAGCTGGGACTACAGGCGCCCGCCACCTCGCCCGGCTAGTTTTTTGTATTTTTTAGTAGAGACGGGGTTTCACCGTGTTAGCCAGGATGGTCTCGATCTCCTGACCTCGTGATCCGCCCGTCTTGGCCTCCCAAAGTGCTGGGATTACAGGCTTGAGCCACCGCGCCCGGCCTTAAATTGTATTTCTATATATATGCAGTGGGCAATTGGAAAAATGATTTTTAAAATCAAATAACAGCTGGATGCATACTTCACGCTTGTAATCCTAGCACTTGGGGAGGCTGAGGTGGGTAGATCACTTGAGCCCAGGAGTTTGAGACTAGCCTGGGCAAGATGGCAAAACCTTTTCTACAAAGGAAAAAAAAAATTTAGCCAGGCATGGTAGTGGGTGCCTGTGGTCCCAGATACTCAGGAGGCTGAGGTGGGAGGATCACCTGAGCCCAGGGAGGTTGAAGCTGCAACTTATCTCCATTGTCATGTGATTCCATGTTCTAGCAATCTTGGCTCACTGCAACCTCCGCCTCCCGGGTTCAAACGATTATCCTGCCTCAGCCTCCCAAGTAGCTGGGATTATAGATATGCACCACCATGTTGGCCAGACTTGTCTTGAACTCCTGACCTCAGGTGATCCACCTGCCTCAGCCTCCCAAAGTGCTGGGATTACAGGAGTGAGCCGCTGTGCCCAGCCCCTGGTCATTTTTCAAAGGGCATATGTATGGTCTTCCCTGAAGGTCTCTAGAAGAAACTCTCGGTGCTGGTGAAGAAGAAAACGTGGGCCACCAGCAGGCTGGGAATGTGAAGCAGCAGGTAAGCCTCAGGCCCACCTGCCCCAGGCTGGCTCTGTGTCAGGGAAGGGATGAATGCACAGATGTATCCAGTAGTCATTCGTAGAGCAAATGTGTGTTGATGCCACCCTACAGGCAGTTGACTTAAAGCTGCAGGGAACACAAAAATAAATAAACCTGTACCTTTTCTAAGGATGGGGATAGCCACGTGTACCAATCATTACAGTACCCTGCAAAGGACTCTCTCGTGTCTGCTTGGAGAACTGAATGTAGCTCAAATATCACCTTACTGCTTCCACTTTGCTCCCACGGCACTCTGGGCATACCTCTGAGAGGGAGAGAATAATGGGATAAAACACCTGGGTTTCTTTCTTTCCTTGTTCCAGACTGCAAGCTGTTTTGTTTTGTTTGAAACAAGGTCTCACTGTGTCGCCCAGGCTGGAATGCAGGGAGCGATCATGGCTCCCTGCAGCCTTGACTTCCTGGACTTAAGTAATCCTCCCACCTCAGGCTCCTTAGTAACTGGGACTACAAGTGTGCCCTGCCACACACAGCTAATTTTGTTTCTGTTTTGTAGAGGCAGGGTCTCCCTGTGTTGCCTAGGCTGGTCTCGAACTCCTGGGCTCAAGCCATCTTCCCGCCTCGGCTCCCAAAGTACTGGGAGTACAGGCATGAACCAATGCACCTGGCCAGATTCACACTTTGTTATAAGCAGAGGAAGATGCTCTTCTGGTACCTGTGTCTGTGCTTCCAATTTGGTCCATTTACAGACTTAATTTTATATCATTCTCATCAGAAATACTTTTTTGCATCCTAGTTTTCAGTTGTATCATTCTTCTGTGTTGCGGTATAGTTTTCAGTGATTTTCATTTCTTACTTATTTTTGAGACAGGGTCTCCCTCTGTCACCCAGGCTGGAGTGCAGAGGCATGATCACTGCTCACTGGAGTCCCAACATCTCAAAAAAACAAAGTATTTACAGAGTGTAGTAGATGTACTAGTATTGGTTCCTTTATTATATGTTATTTAGGTTGTTTCCACACTTTTGCTTGCCTCCCTCCCTCCCTCCCTCCCTTCTTCCCTCCCTTCTTTCCTCTCCTTTCCTTCTTTCGACAGTCTCGGCCTGTCCCCCAGCTGGAGTGCAGTGGTGTGATCTCGGCTCACTGCAACCTCTGCCTCCTGGGTTCAAGCAACTCTCCTTCCTCAGCCTCCCAAGCAGCTGGGATAACAGACGCACATCACCACACCCAGCTAATGTTTGTATTTTTAGTAGAGATGGGGTTTCACCATGTTGCCCAGGCTAGTCTTGAACTCCTGAACTCAGGTGACCCGCCCGCCTCAGCCTCCTGAAGTGCTAGGATTACAGGTGTGAGCCACGGCGCCTGGCCATGTTTCCACACTTCTGTTCTTTTTTTTTTTCTTTTGAGACAGAGTCCCAGGCTGGAGTATAATGACACAATCTCGGCTTACTGCAAGCTCCGCCTCCCGGGTTCACGCCATTCTCCTGCTTCAGCCTCCCGAGTAGCTGGGACTCCAGGCGCCCACCACCACGCCCGGTTAGTTTTTTGTATTTTTTTTTTTTTTAGTAGAGATGGGTTTTCACTGTGTTGGCCAGGATGGTCTTGATCTCCTGACCTCGTGATCCACCCGCCTCGGCCTCCCAAAGTGCTGGGATGACAGGCATGAGCCACTGCACCTGGCCACTTCTGTTCTTATAAATAAAATTTGCTATCTTTTGTAACACTGGGACCGGCACCTCTGCCTTCTCTCTTTGTGTGGAATCACTGGGCCAGGGAGCATAGATATTCATGAGATTCTTGGTGGGCCGTGCCCTGCCGCCTTCCCAAGGCCTGTACCAGTGAGCACTGTCCTGCCAGCATCACAGGGTGTTGGTGTCCATCACCTTCCAGCCACTGCCTTTCCTAGCGTGGAGCTGCACATGACCCCTGAGATCCTCAGGCACAAGAGTTGGGTTAGGGGTTTTCAATAAAACTGCCTGCTTTCCAGTACTGAGAATCAACTTTTTTCCCACTCTGATAGGAAAAATCGCAGCCCTCAGAGAGTCGCTGGCTGAAGTATCTAGAAAAGGACTCCCAAGAACCGGAGCTGGAAGGAAGAGGAGTGTGTTTCAGCAAACAGCCTTCATCCAAAACGGAGGAGCCAGGCCCCCGCCTCAGCCAAGACCTGCCTAGAAAAAGGTGCCAAGTGCGACTCCGGTCCAGCCCTGGCCCAGAGCCTATGCTGCCTCCAGCAGTGGGGCACCAGTGAGCCACTGTGAGCATCAGCCAAGTGGGGGAAGCCTAGGTGGCAAGTGGCAATGGGCAGCTGCTGCCACTGCTGGCCCCTCGGCCCACCTGGGCATTGGGCACTGCTGGTGCAGAGGCAAAGGCTGGGCAGGACACCAGTATGCATACCCTTTATGATGCCCACTTAATTCTGAACATCTCAGACTATACTGACCTCAGGGAAGTGGCCAGAGTAGCTGAGAGGCCTGAGAGCTTTTAGCACAGAGAAGCAGAGACCTCAGACTTGAAGGAAGGTTTCTTCTGCTTCAGGCATTTCAGTGAGTTTTTTGGAGAGACTGCTTTAGGCTAAGGATCTAGGGTGGCTCTTAGAAGGCAGGTGCTTTCAGGAGGTAGATTCTGCTTTCAAACCAGAACGTTCATCTGGGCACAATGGCTCACACCTGTAATCCCAGCACTTTGGGAGGCTGAGGCAGGAGGATCATTTGAGACCAGTCCGGGCAACATAGGGAGACCCTATCTGTACAACAAAGTTTTTAAACAAATTCATGGGGCATGGTGGTGCATGCCTGTGGTCTCAGCTACTTGGGAGAATGAGGCAGGAGGATCACCTGAACCCAGGAGGTCAAGGCTGCAGTGAGCCATTGCACTCCAGCCTGGGTGCCAGTGAGACCCTGCGTAAAAGAAAAACACAACTTTTTAGCAACTAGAAGCTGCGAAGCAGGGGAGTGGGGCCTGCGCGGTGGCGGGGCAGCCTGAGCAGGGGAGCGGGGCCTGCGCGGTGGCGGGGCAGCCTGAGCAGGGGAGCGGGGCCTGCGCGGTGGTGGCGGGGCAGCCGGAGCAGGGGAGCGGGGCCTGCGCGGTGGCGGGGCGGCCTGAGCAGGGGAGCGGGGCCTGCGCGGTGGCGGGGCGGCCGGAGCAGGGGAGCGCGGCCTGCGCGGTGGCGGGGCGGCCGGAGCAGGGGAGCGGGGCCTGCGCGGTGGCGGGGCAGCCTGAGCAGCTGCCTGGGAAGCTACAGGGGTGAGCAGGCGGCCACCCGGGCTTGTGGGCCGTGTGATTGTGGAGTCAGGCTTGGGGTGCCACTGGAGAGTAGCACGGGACCACTGACAGTACTGTCCTGACAGGAAGTGGAGCCAGAGCACCGTCCAGCCTCCGTGCAGCCTTGGCATCCAGGACTCGGGTGGCTCTGAGGTCGCCTGGGAACCCCAGAAGGTCAGTGACAGAGAACAGTTTCTCTGTGGTCCCAGTGACCACTGAGTATGTGTGGGATAATTTTGTCTTTTGTCACAGTTGACAAAGTATAAGATTCCTAACCGCAGAAAGCCCATCTCACCACCTGGGTTTCTTGTCTTTTCTGTGTGAAGCCAACTCCTTCCTTGGTTCTCTACCCCCTTTTCTCTCCCATGCCTCTCATCTCTCATGAGGGTAGCTCAGGACCAAAGAGCATCGTGACACCTGGGAGCAACTAAGGTTGGATTTTCTGGGTCAGGGCCATCGTCTCATTCTGCAGGGAGCACGGGGACCTTTGTCCAGGCAGGAGCAGTCTGTGGGCCCGCCCTGAATCCTGGGAGATGCTTCCCTCCACACTCGCATTTGCCCAGGTGTGGACTCTTGTATGTGAGACGCTCTTCACTTAGGGTGTTGCCTTGTTCTTTTTTGTTTTCTGAGACAGGGTCTCACTGTGTCTACCCAGGCTGGAGTGCAGTGGCCCAGTCAGAGCCTACTGAAGCTTCAACCGCCCAGGCTCAAGTGATCCTCCTGCCTCAGCCCCTCAAGTAGCTGGGACTACAGATGTGCACCACCACACTGGCTAATTCTAAAACAATATTTTGTAGAGGTCGGGCGCGGTGGCTCACACCTGTAATCTCAGCACTTTGGGAGGGTGAGGCGGGCGGATCACCTGAAGGTCAGGAGTTTGAGACCAGCCTGGCCAACATGGTGAAACCCCGTCTCTACTAAAAATAATGAGTTGGGCATGGGTGCATGCACCTGTAATCCTGGCTACTCGAGAGGCTGAGGCAGGAGAATTGCTTGAACCTGGGAGGCGCAGGTTGCAGTGAGCCGAGATCACACCACTGCACTCCAGCCTGGGCGACAGAAAAAAAAAAAATTTAGAGACATGGTCTCACTATGTTGCCCAGGCTTGTCTCAAAACTCCTGAGCTCAAGCAATCTTCCCAATTCCCAAAGTGCTGGGATTACAGGTGTGGGCCACCGTGCCTGGCCCGGTTGTCTTGTTCTTGAAGCTTCCAATCTAGCAGGCCCCACCACATATCCAGTGCTGCAGAGTGCAGGGTGTGCTCTGCCTGTCACAGGAGCCAGGGGACAGCAAGGGCACTGCAGCTGGGAGTCCAGTGGGCATCAGTCACTGCCCCCACCCCCACGTCAGCCAAGGTCGGCCTCGGCTGGCCTCACCACGCACAGAGCACTGGCTCATGCCAAGAGGCAGAAGTCAAACTTTGATGTTGCCGCCAACGAGTTTTGTGATCCTGGGTAAGTATGTGGTCTCGAATCTCCAAATCCTAGAAGAATGACCACAGAGTCTACCATGGGTCCGTCCCTGGGCTGCACGTTGTAATGGTATCATTGTGTTTCATGCTCCCTCAAGCCTGTTGCTTTGTTTTGAAGGTGAGAAACAGGCTTGTAGTTTGTGTGGTCATGGCAAGTTCAGTGGCAAAGCTGGCATCAAGTGTCAGGGCTTCTTCCAGATTGCCTGGGTGGCAGCACTGCAGGGACCCACTCTGTTGCTGCTTTCACATCCCTTTGTAAGCAGTACAGCCCAACTTTTTTTGAGATGGAGTTTCACTCTTGTTCCCCTGGCTGGAGTGCAATGGCATATCGGCTCACTGCAACCTCCGCCTCCCAGGTTCAAGTGATTCTCCTGCCTCAGCCCCGAGTAGCTGTGATTACAGGCAGGCGCCACCACGCCCGACTAATTTTTCTATTTTTAGTAGACAGGGCTTCACCATGTTGGCCAGACTGGTCTCGAACTCCTGACCTCAAGTGATCCACCTGCCTCGGCCTCCCAAAGTACTGGGATTACAGGCGTGAACCACCACCCCCAGCCTTCTGTTTTTAAGACAGGGTATCACTCTGTCACCCAGGCTGGAGTGCAATGGTGCCATCTCAGCTCATAGCAGCCTCCAACTCCCGGGCTGAAGTGATCCTCCTGAGTAGCTGGGATCACAGGCACTCACCACCACGTTTGGCTAATTTTTTGTAGAGGTGGGGTTTCATCATGTTTCCCAAGCTAGTCTCAAACTCCTGGACTAAAGCAATCTGCTTGAGCATTCCAATCTGCCTCGGCCTTCCAAAGTGCTGGGATTCAGGCATGAGCCACTGCTCCCAGTCTACAACCCAAGTTTCTTTTTTTTTTTTTTGGGGGGACAGAGTCTCACTCAGTTGCCCAGGCTGGAGTGGAATGGCACGATCTCGGCTCACTGCAACCTCTGCCTCCGAGGTTCAAGTGATTCTCCTGCCTCAGCCTCCTGAGTAGCTGAGATTACAGGCATGTGCCACCATGCCTGGTTAATTTTTGTATTTTTAGTAGTGATAGGGTTTCGTTTTGTTGACCAGGTTGGTCTTGAACCCCTGGCCTCGGGTGATCTGCCCGCCTCGGCCTCCTAAAGTGCTGGGATTACAGACATGAGCCACTGCACCCGGCCAACACCCAACTTTCAGAGCATCTTTGGTTCTTGGGGTGAGAGAAGCCAGACCCCAGCTTTTCTATCCCACCCGGAGCTCGGTGCTGCCACCTGTGCAGCTGCAGAACCTGGCAGGCTCTGGAGAGCTGCTCCCAGGTGGGAGATGGCAGGATGGAGCCAGCCCACCCCTTTCCAGATGTCTCTAGGCCCTCCCTGCTCAAACCTCCTTTGTAGGCACTGGTGACCCGATTCTAAGGTCCCCAGGAGATGGATCACCTGATGACGTGTCTTGTTTTTGGAAAGCCTGGTCATGCAATTTAGCAGATGGTTTGGGGTGAGGTGGAAGGCATTTATTTGCTTTGTCTTGCTAACTCTCAAAATCAAAGCCTGTCCCAGCCTAACAGCTTCCAGCAGAAAGTGTCTGAACTAGAGGCCCAGCCAAGGCCCAGGCAGGGCTCGTGGTCCTGCTGGGCCCTGGCATTGTTCTTACAAATGGAGGGCATGGCCATCTTCTCTTTCAGGGACAGGCTGGCTTGACATGGAAGGTGAAGCAAGGCAGCAGCCCCTGCCTCCGGGAGAATGCTGCCGACTCCAGCGCCAGGGAGCCGAGGGGTCCTGGGAAGGAGCTATGGAGTCCTGCCCAGCAGGTCACCGCCACCTCCTCTAAATGGGTGCAGTTTGTCCTGTCACCTAGAAACAGTTCACACGTGGACAGAGAGCAGCCAACGCCTCTTCAGAGGGACCCTGGGCCAGCTGCTCCAGCACAGGCTAAGCAAGGGACCCCCGGGACCCCCAGAGCACAGGCCTCAATGGAAGGCCTCAGCAGGCCCACCGACGCTGTCCAGCTTCCTCGGGCCACACACCCCACCACATCCGGGCCTGAGAGGCCCTGTGGGAAGACCTCATGGGACTCAAGGACTCCCTGGGCAGAGGGTGGGCCCCTGGTCCAGGAGACACAGAATCCCCGACTCCCACGACTATGTGACTTCTTTACAACTGGTGAAGACTTTGATGATGATCTGTGATCTGGGACTGGCAGGTTATTATTAATCGAGATACACTTGTTAGGAGGGACAGGGTTCCCTAAGGCACTTTTAAAGCTACTGTGTAAGAACCACCAATAAACTTACTGTCAAACAGATCATTTCTCTCTATGCAAATATCATTGGTTAAAGTGCTGATGCCATTTAATTAGATTGTTTACAAACGTAACAGGATGGCTACAAAGAGATCTTATTTTAAAAGCAGCTGATGGTTTGGCAATGAGAGAACTACAGTGGTGGAGAGACCAGGAGGCGGCTCTCAGCGAAACCAACATTATGGATGCCCTGCATGAGCCTTCTCAGTCCCAGCAGGAAGCCCACCACACTGGCTGCCCCGGCCTCCCCACTGCCTGTGCCAGGACAGCCGCCTCCCCTGCTTACCCGCCGACAACACCTAGGCTTCCTTTATCTAAAATCAGAGCGTACCAGGTCTCTAGCAGAAAATCAACTCAGTGTCAGGGACCTCCGAGTCATTTAAAAAGAGAAAGTGGAAGGCCATTAGGCAAGCTATGTCTGCGCTGCTAATGTGGCCCCTGCAGGGAGGGGCCAGGAGCGCTGCGGTGAGCCTCAGGTCTCAAAGGCCCAGCCCTGCTGCAGGGAGCTAGAGCACCCAGGAGACCAGGACACCAGGAGACCGGTCTTGCTTCTCAGACGTCACACACACGGGGCCCCTCCCCTCATGTCACTTGTTTTGCTTCCCTAAATGGCTTCTTCCACCCTAACCCCTGATCCCCTGATCCTGGAATAAGGCAGAGAAACTGGCCCATACAGAGACCTGCAATTCTACACTAGCTTAACAGCTACGAGACAGAAGAGGGAGACACAGAAGAGGTGGGCAAAAGCGGTCACAATGGCGGGGAATGCTTTGAATACTGGATGGTGTCCAGAGCCGCCCCGATGTCGTAATTCTTGGTCTGCAGGAGCCTGGTGAGCCAGCCGCCTTCGTCAGAGAAGCCCATGGAGAGCATCTGGGAGAGGGACTCAATCAGCCGCGGGTCAGCCTCTGCCAAAACAGTAAGGAAGCCATGAGGAGTGGTGCTGAGCCCTGTGAGTGACCCGAAACACACACCCTCCTGCCTTGGCCAGCGGGACCGGGGCCTGCCAGTGTCCGAGTGCCCAGAGCTCTGGCCCTCACAGGCCACAGTGGACCTGCCTGCCCTATAAAGGGCCAACTAGTCTTTTTCACACTGCTCAACTCTGCCACTGTGACACAAGGCAGCCAGGTGGTATGTAAACAAAACTATCGCTGGACACTGAAATACGCATTTCATCTAACTGTCACATCTTTTGATTGAAAAATACAAGAACTACTCTTGGCCCATAGCTCGCCATCCCCTGCCCTAAGGCAGAGAAGACACACTGGCAGCGCACAGCAGGTTGTGCACACAGACCCTGGTTTACACACGGCTGCAGTGTGACAATGAGGAGTCTGTCAGCTGTCCCCATCCCCCACCGCTGCCTTCCACACCATCCACTTCAACGGTGGCTTCTGCCTGGCTCCTCCAGGGATCTTGGCTATGACCTCCACTCAGACCAGCACTCCCTGAGGAGACACTGAAGAGGTCTGAGCCCAGTGTGAGTAGTAGGGACACACCCAGTGCTGCCCCCTCTCTGTGTCACACCTGCCTTAATTCCTGGTCTGCATGTTAAGTTTTAGAAACTCCTACAATTAATATTCCTGGCTCTGGAGTTTCCTTAAAGAAAAACATTTTTAGAACTCCTGCATTAGCAGAGCTTACTCACTACTGCTCAGGGTAGACGTGAGAGGACAAAACCAACTCCTAACCTCCCACACCTACAGACAAGCCCTGCAGTGGAGAACGTCCCATCCTGTGTGTGTCGCTGGAATCAGAGGGGGCAGGATGCTCTGAAGGGAAAGGTAGGACTGAATACAGAACTCTTGGTTCACTTGCCTGGTGGGAGATGTGGGTACAAGGCGGCTTCCTTCAGCCCTGTGGGTCCCTCCTGGGAGGGGTCCAGAGAGCTTGGCCCTTCGGATTCTGGCATCTGTAGGGACTGGAGTTCACCTGTGGACGGGTCCACTTCTTTTGAAGACAAATGGGTCCAGTCATCGTCTCCTCCTGAACAGTTATCAGACTCCATCTGTTCCTGGAACAGAACTCACCATGAGCACACAAGAGACACGCGCAACAGGCCAAGCCTGACCATGGCACTGACTCCTGGCACACAGTTGGGGAGTGTGCACGCACACGTGTTTAAGGCTGCAGGGGGCTACGGGGAACAGTGAGCCACTCACAAAGACCAAGTAACTACAAAGTTCTAGCCGGTTCCCAGAGTGACTTTAATGGCACAGACATCACTGCAGCAGCAGCAGCTCCCTCGGGTTTCATAAGTGGCTGCATAGGTGCTGAGGATGGGGCGGAGGCGCAGCTACAAATCGCTAGGCTGCCCGAGGTCCCAGGTGGTGGGAGGGGCACAGGCTTGCCTCAGGCCGCCCCTCGGACTCCAAGGCGATCTGTCTCATCTGCTCTGCCAGAGACTGCGTGGCGCCCTCAACGCTCCCACCCGGCTGGCTGGGGCCAGAGCAGCGGCTGCTTGGCTGTGAGCTGTTCTTCTCCTCTGTGCTGGAGCTCTCTGGAGAGGCAGGGGTCAGGCGGCTTCTTTTCCCGCCGTGCTCCACGTCAATATCCACTTCAATGCCTAGAGGCCAAGGAGGAGAGAGAAAGCTGTGACGCCCCCACAAGGAGGCAGCTGCGAGCAGGAGCGTGGCCTGTGGGGACTAGACTCGCGAAGATCTCACGTTCAGTCCCCACAGGCAGGCGAGGGTCTGGATGGCGGCACTCAGTGTGTGGATGCCGGGGCTAGGTTCTCCTACCCAGCTTGACCCCGGAATCACACAGTCACTATGGGACTAGACGATGCAAACCTGTGAGTCCGAGGCTTCTCCCAGTATCCCAGCTACAAATCTCTGTGGCTTCTGGAAACATTCTCGGTGTGCCCGTGATACTGGAGCTTTCTCTTTCTCCAATTCAGTAAAACATTAACCTCAGCTAGCATCTAAGGTCAGCTTCTAAGCCAGAAAGTCAAGAGAGACCTTGTTTTTTCTAACCATGCAGGGTATGGGCTGCACAGCAGGTAGGGCCAGGCCCTAAGTACGGGGGAGCCAATACTGCATGTGGCAGGCACCTCCAGCCAGTGATGGAAGGCTGTGTACCTCATGACACCTGCACATAGAGGCTTTGTGTGATGACACATAACACGCACCTAAACGCTGGGCTCTGCTCGGAGTGGACAGGCCATGCAGGGGAGGCGTGGGGCCCGACATGGCAGCGCAGGGAGCCTGCACACCTCCAGGCTCACGTAACTCACCAAGGACAGAGGGAAGAATCACCTGCACTATTTTTGAAATTCAATAGTGTCAGAAGTCTCCATGCCCACAGCTTAGAGTCACCAGTTGTCAAAGGCTGTGGTGCACACTCTGCTCCCATCCCACTCCCCAAAACCTCCCTGCACCCTTTCAGCTCATGCTGCTCTCACCTGATGACCGAGTTCACATCTGTGCATTTCCTACTCTAGACAGTATCTGCCTCTCCTTCCACTACCCTTTCCAAGACTCAGTTTTTCGTTAAAAGAACATTCAGTGTTTCAGCTAGTGCCTCTATCTAAATGTTCTTTGCTGGGTCAAGGGGCAGACTATTTCCTTGGATAGCTTTTTGTTTTCCTACCACTGATGACGGCTTCTCTTTTTTTTTTTTTTAGACGGAGTCTCGCTCTGACGCCCAGGCTGGAGTGCAGTGGCGCAATCTCTCGGCTCACTGCAACCTCCGCCCACCGGGTACAAGTGATTCTCCTGCCTCAGCCTCCAGAGTAGCTGGGACTACAGGCGTCCGCCACCTCACCTGGCTAGTTTCTTTGTATTTTTTAGTAGAGACGGGGTTTCACCGTGTTAGCCAGGATGGTCTCGATCTCCTGACCTCGTGATCCGCCCGCCTCGGCCTCCCAAAGTGCTGGGATTACAGGCTTGAGCCACCGCGCCCGGCCTTAACTGATTTAAGTCATCAGTTGTTCCACTGTCTCCTAGCTTTTCATGATTGTTTGCTCTTTGTATTCCCAAGTATTTACAATAACCTAAAATTTTAGAAGCCCCTCTTTATCCTCAGGGTTCTGATTTGACAGCGATAAGCTTTGCTGTGGGTCTTTCTCAGTCACTGTCAGGGCCGCTTTCAATCTAGAAGATAAGGTCCTCATTGCCAAGAAACTATCTTGCATTTTTGTTGTTGTTGTTTTCTGTTTTTTTGTTTTGAGACAAGGTCTGGTTCTGTCGCCCAGGATGGAGTGCAGTGGTACAATCTAGGCTCGTTGCACCCTCTGCCTCCCAGGCTCAAGCCATCCCCAACCGCAGCCTCCCGAGTAGCTGGGGCCATAAGTACACAACTCCAGGCCCAGCTAATGTTTGTAGTGTTTGTAGACACGGGGAGGGGGGACGGTGTCTCCCTATGTTGCCAAGGCTGGTCTCAAACTCGTGAGCTCAAGTTATCTGCCCGCCTTGGTCTCCCAAAGTGTTGGGATTACAGGGATGAGCCACTGTGCTTGGCGCCAAGAAACTATCTTGCATTCCATGTTCATTTCCTCCTTTCAGTTTTCTATTCTTTCTGGAATTCCTACTCATCCTATATGGGGCTTCTAGACTTGTTCCTACACTAGTTTTCTTATATTTCTCTCCTTCTATCTCTCTTCTGCTTTTGGAATATCTCCTTGAGATAATATTAGAATCTAAGCCTTCTTTTGAAGTTTTTTTTCTATTTACATTTTTTAATTTCAAGAACTTTCTTATTCTATTCCCTTTGTTATCCTTTTTATAGTATCCTGTTCCTTTTTCACACAGACAATACTCTTTTTGTATCTCACTGAGGGCATTAACATTCTTTTCCCTTTAAGCCCTTTTCTCCCATGTGTGGGGCCTTTCCTCAGATGGCTGGTGACCCAAGGCTGTCTGATCCCACGGAAACACTAAGAAAAGGTTGATAGGAAGCCTTCTGTGAGGCCAGCGCCATCACCAACTTCTCCTCTGCAGGGTGACTGGGGGCCTGGCAGGCAGGAGCTGTAGGACGCTTCTCTGGGGGCATTCAGCCTCCCTCAGCAGGGACTCCCCATCTCCTGCCTGGCCAGGGAACTGACTGTTGGGCCCACTGCTCATTCAGGATGCCCAGTTTCAGGCTGGTGCCTCACCTTGCCCTGTGTCTCTGGTATCCCATGCTGAAGCTTCCCTGGGTCTGGTGCTCTTGGAATTAAACATGAGGTCTCCTTCAGTTGTTGGCAAGAGCTGTCATCTGGTCAAGTGGGCCCTGAAGTCTCTTGACACTTACTAGAGGTTTTCAACCCTCCCCCCTTGTTCCTGTCCCCCATCACTCCCACCTCTTGCCTTTCCTGGCACCTGAACAGATGGTCCTGCTTCTCACCAGGGTGCCCTGTTGTGGCACACAGATTTCTGAAGCTTCCCTCAGCAGGTTGTCATCCTCCCTCCATTTCCATCTTCCAAAATCTGATCACATCTTTGTCTTTTCCTCTTATTACTTTCTTTGTCTATGGTGTTTTCTTTTTGTGTAAGCCCTTTCCTGTTATTTCAGTAGAATGTAAGGGGGGAGCAGAGGTAAAAGCAGACTTAACTACAAGTACCTCCATCTGTAAATTGTTTTTCTCCTTTATTCTTCCCAACGTGTGATTATGAAAAGGTTGAAGCTGCCGGGCACAGTGGCTCACGCCTGTAATCCCAGCACTTTGGGAGGCCAAAGCAGGTGGATCACCTGAGGTCAGGAGTTCGAGACCAGCCTGACCAATGTGGAGAAACCCCGTCTCTAGTAGAAATACAAAATTAGCTGAGTGTGGTGGCACATGCCCGTAATCCCAGCTACTCAGAAGGCTGAGGCATGAGAATCGCTTGAACCCAGAGGCGGAGGTTGCAATGAGCCAAGATTGCACCATTGCACTCCAGCCTAGGCAACAAGAGCAAAAGTCTGTCTCAAAAAAAAAAAAAAAAGAAAAAAGGTTGAAACAAACAGAAAAGTTGAAAGAACAGTACAATCAACACCCATATGCTTTTTAAATGCGTGAGTAATGAGACTTGTCTGTAAACAGATCAGAGAAATTACAGAATTAGGATTTCTCCAACTTGATGATGAAAGCCTGAGATTTCAGGGCTTATAAGAAGACTCTGCCTATGGAGTAGCCATTCTTGTATTCCTTTACTTTCTTAAGAAACTTGCTTTCACTTTAAAAAAAAAAAAGTGGACGATGCTTCGTGCCCTGCTGCCCCGCAAAGCCTCTGCGTGTGGGTGTGTTTATCAAAGATACCGTGGCCAGGAGGGGCCCTGTGGCTTCATGTCAATGCATCTCGGGGCCTGCAGCCTCCCAGCCAGGAGTAGCCTGGGTCTCAGTGGTGGCTTCCTCAGCGGGTTCTCACCGCCCCACCAAAAGGCCTTGGCACTTCACACGAAAGCCGCCGCTTACCCCACACACACTGCCATTGGGAGGCAGCTGTTGACTCATTCCCCTTTGGGCCCTGCTCTGGGAACAGTCCCTTCTAGGCAGTTAACCTGAGTCATCCGGCTTATAGTTCTTCATAAAGAAAGGAAAGAAACTAGCCCTAACTTCTGTAACAGTCTAAGCCGCTCTGCGACTGGCTCTCCTCAGCTGAAACCTCTCAGTCTATTTTACTAAAATCTTCCTTGTTTGTAGAGCTGCAGGCTCCTCCCAGGTTAGGAGAAAGCAGTTTACCCACTTCAAGCCTTTAGCTTTTAGTGCTCAAAGACATCTGAGCACTTGCAAGATGATTCCTGTCTTTGCCAAGTGGGGCGTCCAGTTCAGTTCTGAGATGCTGCACCAGCACAGGTGGGTCTTGAGACAGTGTGACCCCAAGCACCTGGGCAGCCTCCCAGACAGATCCCAGGCCCCACCAACACCTACTTACCACAATCAAAAAAGGTAAGGTCTGGGGATCTGTACTCTCTTAAAGTCTCCATCTGAACCTACACTTGCTTCTGTGACTTCCCAGGATGTCTCCTTTGTTCTCTGAGTGAAGGACTCTTGTTCGTACCTCCAAATTCACCTGCAATTTCTCATACCTTTACTATGCCCAGAGTGAGTTGCAGGATTGAGGCACAGCCTATCTCTCAGTCATGATCTCAATGCTCCACTGTTCTACCCTCCTTCGAAGGCATTAAGAATACTGATTCTAGGCTGAGCACGGTGGCTCACACCGGTAATCCCAGCACTTTGAGAGGCTGAGGAGGGTGGATCACGAGGTCAGGAGTTCGAGACCAGCCTGGCCAACATAGTGACACCCCATCTCTACTAAAAATACAAAAATTAGCCCGGCGTGGTGGCGGGCACCTGTAATCCCAGCTACTCTGGAGGCTGAGGCAGGAGAATCGCTTGAACCCAGGAGGCGGAGGTTGCAGCGAGCCGAGATCACATCATTGCACTCCAGCCTAGGCTACAAGGGCAAAACTCCATCTCAACAAACAAAAAAACCAGAATAGCGATTCTTCTTTCCTATTCTCTGACTTCGCCTCTAAACTCTAGTACAGAAGCCATATGTGTTTGGGCTGTTTAGTACAGCAGCGATGCCAAGATGTCACTGCTGCCTCAAAGTGGAATGAGCAAGGCCAGGCGCAGTGGCTCACGCCTGTAATCCCAGCACTTGGGAGGCCAAGGCGGGTGGATCACGAGGTCAGGAGTCAAGACCAGCCTGGCCAATGTGGCGAAACCCCGTCTCTACAAAAAAAAAATACAAAAATTAGCTGGGCGTGGTGGTGGGTACCTGTAATCCCAGTTACCCAGGAGGCTGAAGCAGGGGAATCGCTTGAACCCAGGAGGTGGAGGTTGCAGTGAGCAGAGATGGCGCCACTGCACTCCAACCTCGGCGACAGAGCAAGATTCCATCTCAAAAAAAAACACAAACCAAAAAAACTGGAATGAGCAGAGTTGGAGCAGATGGCAGTCATGCCCTGTAGCCACAGGAGGCAGCAGGCAGGGCTCGGATGCCCCTCCTGGCAGCATTCTCTCAGACACTGAACACAACCTTTGGACAGGCTGACACAGCCTGCCACTGCAGTCGCAAAAACAAGCTCACTCTTCTAGAGAGAGATGCAAGTGTCCCAGCGATCCATCTGCCATCACGGATCCACCGTCATCTTGAACTAGAAGTTGGCTTCATTCACTGATTCTCACTGCCGCATGCCTAACCCTGCAGCACCCACCCCAGACCCTTAGCCAGACACAGGCACTTTCTAAAGCCCAGCGGGGAGGGGTCTTGGAGCCTGAGCTCATGCCCGGGGTCAGGTGGCATCACTCTGGGGGTACACATTGGGGTTCGCCCACCCCAGCAGACCCACTGTGCAACCTGAGGCACCAGAACTGGCTGTCACCCAGAGTCCCTGCCTCCACCTTCTCCCCGCTCTGATGCAGGCCCAGCACCCAGAAGCACCGGAAAGGTTTGGGGGTTGTAAACTAAAAGAAGGAAAAGATAAGTAGCATCTCAACTACTACCCAGGTCCTCAAAAGTCCAAATCCCAAGGCCTGGCTTAGGGGAAAATCCAGACTATTGTTCACCCAAAGGAGGCCAGTCAGAGGTGACAGGCAAGCCCTACAGCCAGACCCTGGTGACCCTGCCTCACTGGGACCGTCCCAACCAAATGCTGATTCCACTTCACTCCATGTAGAAAGCTTGAGAATTCTGTCAGGGAATTCAACCGTGAGTGAGTTGCCTGTGGTCCAGCATTTAGTAAAGGTTGACTTGAGGCAACAAACCCTCATCAGTGTCAAGGGCATGTCAATTACCCATTTCTCTGCGGTATTCCCGGTGAAAGTGACAAAGTGCAGGCTGAGTTAGGGAAGCGCTGGGCAAGGAGGCACACTCACCCAGAGGGCTAAGGGCGGCTGCCACGCTCTCCCCCACGTTCTTCAGGAAATTCACACTGGGATCCTCCGATGGACCAGCAGCTTTGATTTTTACAAAGATAAGATAAAGATATCTTTAATGCCTTGGATACCTGTCACCTTCTTGCCAAGGTCCCTGTGTTCCTGGGTGACCTTTAACCCAGACGCCTTGTCCAGGGGCCCACTCAGCATCCCCTACTCCTCCCTCCCACTCTGCACCCCCTGGCCCTGCCCCGAGAGCCTCTCCACTCTCGCGCGCCGTTCCCCCTCATCTGCGACCCTGGTGCTCAGCAACCCCACACAGGCTCAGGCTCGGTACACTGTGAATATTGATCACATCCTTGAGTAAATATTTACTCAAAGTCAAGCAAACATCCCCATCTTTGTCCCAGAGAGTGGGGTGATTCACAGGACACAGTAACATTAATAAAATCAGAATCCAAAAATCTAGACTACAAAGCTAAGGGTAAGTCTTTAACTTACAACTATGTTTAAAAGGACTTGAGAAACTTGGGCTCTGATCTTCAACAACCATCACAAAAGAGAACAAAGTGCATCAAAAACCCTGGGCTGGAAGGGCCTCCCTGCCTGCACCTCACGGCACCTGGACAGGGCAGCCTCCTGAGGGGGAAGGGCTACGCAGGTGAATTTGTGGCTTCAGGCACTCACACCTCAGTTTCCCCGTTTGGGAAATGCAGAGAATACTCCCCACTTTGCAGGTTCTTGTGCGATTGTAGGACACCGGGAAGGTGGGGAGGTATCCTGAATTCTTGCCTTGCACACAGGCTTTGCACAAGGGCTCTGCGCACAGGCTGCCTGGCCGCTGCCACCATTCAGAAGCCGGTTCCCATGCAAGCCTCACCTGATTCCGCCGTGGGACCAGGGCGGGCATCCCCTGCACGAGGTGGACGTGGGCTCCAGTTTCCTGGTGGGCCCATTTCCCATCCTGGCCACCCGAAGTGCCCGTGTTTCAGCTTCCGGAGCCAGCGGCTGTGCGAGAAGCCCTGGGGGAGGAATTAGCAGAGGGGCAGGCAGTGAGCGGGTCAAGGTTCCTGCCACCCTGAGCCCACCCCAGGCCTGCCCAGAGGGCCTGCTCACCTCAGACAGGTGCCCGAAGGGGCTGGGGAACGCGAGCTTGGTGTGTCCCTGGTGCAAGCCCTTTCCCTCACAGACGCTACACAAGTCGTAGTCTGGACAGACGCTACACTTGTAGCGGGTTCCTACCACGGGCCCGTTGCAGCCATCACAGATCACATTGGGGTGCACCATGTTGCGAGGCGCCTCCTGAGCACACGGTGGGCGGTGGTCCCGCCGGCACTCTTTTTTCTCTACAGGAAAGGCAGAGAGAGCTGCTAGGGTGTAGCCCCCTAAAGTGCTCCCCCTCTATCATCACTGTGGGGCTGTCACTGCCAACAAGGCCCCTGGAACTGCTCCCCAGCATGGACTCCACACAGAATTCAGCTGCTTAGGTGAGGGCCGCAGAGCAACCAAGAACCTGCTAGGAGGTTCCCAGTCCCTGCGTCTGTTACCTGGGAACCGTGGCCCAGGCAGCAGAGCAGCAGCAAGGAGCCCAGGCTGCACGGCTTGGGCCTTGCTCTTCACCCAAGCACCGCGGCAGCAGACCCCATACCTAGGGTGAACACGGACTCCTCTTTCTCAGGTCAGGTCAGGCACAGCACTTAGTATGTCTTTTTTTTTCTGACACAGAGTCTCACGCTGTCGCCTAGGCTGGAGTGCAGTCGTGTGATTTTGGCTAGCGGCAACCTCTGCTCTCCAGGTTTAAGCGATTCTGGTCTCAGCCTCTTGAGTAGCTGGGACTAGAAGCACACGCCACCACACCCAGCTAATTTTTGTATTTTTAGTAGAGACAAGGTTTCACCATGTTGGCCAGGCTGGTCTTAAACTCCTGACCTCAGGTGCTCTGCCTGCCTCGGCCTCCCAAAGTGCTGGGATTACAGGCGTGAGCCACCACACCTGGCCTACGTCCCTGTCTTAAACAGCCCTCAAATTACTGACCCCTTCATTGGTGGAACATCAAGCCCTGTTTTTCACTCAGCAGGGAACTGAGTACAGGCTGAGCTGGCTTCAGGCAGCCCCTAGAGCAGCCCCTTACCTTTAATGTAGATTCGGAAGATGTCATCCTTCACATAGGACATGGCCATTGTCAATTCCTCATCACTGGAAAAGGCAACCAAGTCCCCGTCCTCATCTAGATTGTTTAAAAGACAGCACATGAGCACCCAGAGGTTCTCAGCTGGACATAAGCTGCTGGAATGGGCTGAGGCCAGTATGAAAGGGACACTCACAGGGCTATAAACTGGAGCATACCCACTTGAGCCACGGAGGGCAGGAGTGAGAGGCAAGATTGCCTCCTTGCTCTGGCACCTCCTGGAAGGTGAGTGCTCCAACCTGGCCCTGGACCACAGCCACACGCAGCAGGTGGAGGGCCCTGGACCACAGGGACAACAGCAGCTTCGGCTGCTGCACTTATTTAGACTCGGGCCAGCTTCCTCTTCAGAAACGTGCCACCTCATTCCACATCCGACCAGGCCCATGTCCATCTTCAACTGTGGGAGATCCCTGCCTGTGACCTGCTTCTGAGGGGCCCAGCCCCACAAAGGCCTTAGACTTCTAGTGGCTTGGGAGTAAAGGAGACGAGGGCATCTGTCTACTTCCTTCCCTAACAAAGCTAAAAATCATGTATTTGTATGTAGTCTCCAGCTGTGACAGATACATGTGAGCTCAAAGGGCTTTAAAGCACAACCGTGCAGACCAAACCACACCATCCACTGTGTGAACAGGTGTGGCACCCAAAGATGCAAACAACCCAAATGTCTGTCAACTAATGAACAGGTAAAACACAGCCCATCCATACAACAGAATATTATTCCTCCAAAAAAACCGAAGTACTGATGTGTGCTACAACATTGAACACACTACACTAAAGGAAAGAAGACTCCATTGTATGATTCTATTTACGTGAAATGCCCAGGATTGCAAGAGGAACAGATACAGAAAGGAGGTGAGTGGTTGCTGGGGGCATGTGGATGGGGGGTGATAAAAGGTATGTATGGCGTTTATAAGGTGATGAAAAGCTCTCAGGTTGAATATGGTCCACAAACCTATGAAAATGGTGAAAACCACTGACTTGTACACTAAATGGGTGAACCCTTATGTCAGTTACAGCTCAATATCACAATTTTTTTTTAAGAACAGGAGAGGGCCTGGCAGGCTGGCAGCACTCCAGAGGGAGGTCCTAGCACTACCCGCTCCCAGGGGCCGGCCTTGGCCACCTCCCTAACCCCACCCCCAGCAGCCACTGGTCACACCAGCGCAGCAGGAAACAGTTCCTGGGCTTCTGTGCCCACACCAACACTTCTGAAGAACGTTCTCGTCTTGTCCCTCTCTCGACTTGCCAGTGGGATAACCTCTGTACTCGACCTGGCCTGGAGCGTTCCTCCCGGAATCAGTGCCCTCCTCCCAGGCGCTGTCGCGGCGCTCGCGAGTCCCCCGCACCCCCGCGCTTGTTTACCCGCGTCACTCCCTCCCCTCCGCCGGCGCTCCCCGGGCTCCTCCGGGCCATTATCTGAACCCACCACCTGGCGCAGCAAGATGTCAGTGTAACCCGAGTGCCCGCCTGACCACCCAGTTCCCGGGGAGAGCCAGAGAGTTCGCCCCGGCGCGTCCTGGCCAAAATCCCCAACAGCGCGGGGGGTGGGGGGGTCTGACGCTCGCAGGCTCGAGCCCGCGGCCCGCAGGGCTCCACCGCTGAACAGCGGGTCCCGGCCTTGGTCACCACTGCCGTCACCAGGCTGGCACCCAAGGCCGAACCGGGACCCATGCAGGCCACCGCCATCCAGGGAGCAGCCAGAGCAGACCCCTCACGGCCCACCAGGCGTCGCCGAGAAGCGGGAGGGCAGCCACACGCGCAGGAGGCCGAACCCGGCCTGCGTCACCGCCCCCGCCCTGCCCGGCCCGCTCACCGCGGTAGTGCGCCTGGAAGCCGCCGGGCCGCAGCGCGGGGAACAGGGCGGCCACCCGGCTCAGCAGCCGCTCGCAGGGCCCCGGACCTGCCGCGTCCTCGGCTTCCGCCTCCGGCTCGGGGCTGAAGCAGAAGCTGAAGCGGCGGATCTCGCGCGCCGCGTCCTCCTTGCCCAGCAGGTAGGCCTTCACCGTGAGGGACGCCATAGCGAGGTCGAGCTGCGGGAAAACCGGCCGTCCGGGTCGCGGCCGACGCGCGGCTTTTGTAGCGAGCGCGGAGGCCCCGCCCCGCCTCGAGAGGGGCGGAGCCTGTCGCGCCCTCCCAGCCTCCTCCACTGCCGTCGCGGCGCGAGAGCCGCCCTGCAGAGGCCCCTTCACTACTCACCCCTTCCCCGCTACCCCTCGCTCCAGGTCTGCCGACCCCTCATTGCTGACCCCTCTCTTCACTGCCCCAGTGCACCAAGGACCCCAAGAAACCGGCCCTGGCACTCACATAGGCCTGGGCTCCAGCCTCTGCACCTGGGATCAGGGGACTGTCCAGCCCCCGCCCCTCCCAGGCTTGGGCCTGGTCATGACTCAGCAATATCCTCCGTTGGGGGTACCCAGTGCAGGGAGAGCTGACACAGCCCCCATATCAGGAGGCTGCTAGGTCGCCCAGTGGGCACTGCTGGCCAGAACAAGCTGGCTCTCGGGGTACTGTTCCAACCCTGCCATGGTCAGCCTCCAGCGGGGGCAGCCCTCTTACAGCGCATGGCACCCTCGCTGATGGCCCCTAACTGGGTTGAGGGACGGACCCGACTCTGGCCTGAGCACCAGAGAAGTTCCCAGTTTAATAGGAGTGGAGCTGAGAGGTGCTGAGGACCACCCAAGGTCTCCTGAGTGTCAGTGGTCGCCAAATGTGCACTGTGGCCCAAGCGACTCCTTACGGGCTCCTCAATTCAGCGGGCAGTGCCCATGGCGCTGTGGGGGCTCAGGTCCGTCGGCCTTGTGGGCAGCCAAGGGGGTCAGGCAACAGCCTCCTCAGCTGGGAATGAAGAAACTCCACTTTATGCCACCAAAGTAACTGTCCGCCAGAACTGGGGCAAGGAGAGGGGCAGGACTGGTGGTCACCCTCTGGAGCCTCCCAGGCAGGGTCCTGTGAGTGGGAGGTCAGAACCTGCTGGGTCCAACTCATGCCATTTCAGGCCAGGGCTTGCAGGAGTTGGAGAAACGTCCCAACGGGGGAAACCCAAACCGAGGGAAGGGTGGCTGGATGGGGCCGGTCAGGTGCAAAGGTGGTATGTGGGTGTGCACACAGCAGGGGCTGGCCCACAGGTGTGAACGATCCTTCCGGGAGAGCTCTGCCGCGGGCAAGTCTTCCACCCTGCCCAGAGCAGCACCCTCTGTGGCGAGGGCTCAGGCCTCTCCCTGCATCCAGAGGGGGACAGTGGAAAGTGCCCCAGGGCCTGCTGGAGCCGGCCTTGCAGATAGAGGCAGGGGACACAGAGGGGCGTGCTGGCAGGGGCTGCGGCCTACAGACAGGTGCTGGCCAAGCGTGAGTCAGCAGCCCAGGCGCCTGAGAGCCACGTGGCCCCCGCCGAGGGCCGGCCTTCCTGCCCCAGCCCCTGGCTATGGCTCGGTCTGAGCAGGGTGAGGAACACAAGGAAAGCCCTCTGGCTCTGGGAACATAGCTTTGAGCTCCCCCAAGAAGGAGCTTCTTTGCCTTCTCGCCATTTGGCCCCGTTCGGGATCGTGGGAAGTTTCCGCGGGGGCTGGGGGCAGGTGAAGAGACTCGGGGGTGGGGGAGAAGGAAGCACAGAAGGGGTGTCCTTGGGAAGCTGGGGTAGAGACCCCGGCTCAGGCCCTTCCCCGCACGCCTTGCAGCCCCAGCGGCCGCCCTGCCCCCATGCGAGGCCGAGGCCTCCCGGAGGTAAACAAGCCGCGGCGGGAACCCCCTGGCAGGGCCCTCCCTCCCACCGCGGAGGTCAGGTGGTCTGGCCGGCAGTGAGTCAGCGTCCCATGACTGCTCTCGTAATAGGGGGATCCCCGGCCCCTGCTGCCACCCATCTCAGTGACCTCTTACCTGGAGGCTGGGCTGGGCAGTGGCTCCGGGGTCACTGTGAGTCCCCTGAGCAGGAAGAGCGTGCAGCGGCCGGAGCCAACCAGACCCTGTCCCCCTTCTCCCGTCTGACTCCTTCCCCTTTCCCGATGCAGTCCCACTCTGCAAGCTCCCCGCGTCCATTGGCCCCCTTCCCACCCTCCAGGGCCCCCTTCCCACCCTCCAGGGCCCGGCGTGTATGCCCAGGGAAAGCTCGGCAGCTGAGTTGGAGACCCACTATGAACCAGCCTCTCATTTCCTCATCTTTCAAATGGGGCTGAAGTGGGAGGACTTGCGCTGCCTTACCAGGGGATGGCCCATGAGTGTGCGAGTTGTTTAGCTGCTTTTGGGGCTGTTCGCTGGGGGGTCAGGGCAGGGCAGAGACTGCAGGCGGCCTGAGGTGAAAGAGTGGGGAGGGCAGGAGAGGCCTGAGCCAAGCGCCCGGTGGTCCCAGGAGACCAGGCGGTTGGCCACAGCGGTGGTCTGGTTCTGTCTGTTGCTGCCCCCCGTGTTGTAACCATCTCGTCAGTTCCCCCTTCCCCCTTCCCAAATAATCCCATACCTTGGCAGTGGCGTTCCCAGGTTCCCTTTTCTTTGCGGTGTGGAGTCAAGTGTCCGCGTGGGTGCTGGGGCAGCCAGAGACAGGGCCACTGAGGGATTCAGGCTGCACTGCTCTGGGCCATCTTTAGGGAGATTGACAATCACAGAGGACACAGTGCCTCCAGGCCCAGCCCTAGGCCCAGGGGATGAGTTCCTCTACAGAGGTCCTGGTCTGTGAGGGGACCTCCAGGCCTTCTGCACTGCAGCCACTCGCTTCCACTCAGATGGGAGGGCCACAGCCCTCCCTACCATCTTCCAAATCATGCCAGCTCATTCTACCTGGTGACTTTTCCCTGGCTCTCCCTCTGGTCCGAAACCCTTTCCCCTCCTGCCCTGCAAGGCAACTTCCCACCCTAAATGTCCGCTCCTCAGTGGGGCCTTCCTTGACCACTCCCTAGGAAAAATCCCCAGGCACTGGACATCTTTTTTTTTTTTTTTTTTTTTTTTTTTTTTTTTTTTTTTTTTTTTTTTGAGACAGTCTCACTCTGTCACCCAGGCTGAAGTGCAGTAGCATGATCCTGGCTCACTGCAACCTTTGCCTCCCAGGTTCAAGCAATTCTCCTGCTCCTGCCTCAGCCTCCCAAATAGCTAGGATTACAGGTGCCCGCAAGCAAGCCTTGCTAATTTTTGTATTTTTAGTAGAGACAGGTTTCACTGTGTTGGCCAGGATGGTCTTGAACTCTTGACCTCAAGTGATCCGTCCACCTCGGCCTCCCAAAGTGCTGGCACTGCAGGCTGAGCCACCCGCCAGGCCAGACATCACCCCCTTTTAGCCCTTTCAGACAAGCCCAAAGCCCAGGCAAGAGGTGTTGGGGCCATGGGAGGGGGCACGCCCAAAAGGGGTTTGCAAAGATCTTTCTGAAAGAAAAGGAGTTCAAGTCATGGACTGACATGGTTAGAGAATTCGGTGATGCCAAGTTGTCAGGCGCGAGAACCTCAGGGACCCTCTCCTACTGGAAGGCCAGAGCTACAGAAAGAGGTCCCCCTGACTGTCGGAATTTCTCCAAATAATTTCAAATATAGCCTGCCTGGGGGACGGGGCGAGACCCTGGGCCCTCAGGGACACTGAGGGGTTGCCCATGTGGGGGGACATTGCCACATGGGGGCGGCCCTCGCCAACCGCGGAGTGGGGAAAAGGGGGAGGGATGGAGGAGGAAGCCCGGCCGTGTCTGAACGCACAACGCGGAGCGGGAACCACAGCCCTGGTCCCCAGAAAGCGCGCGCGGCCCGGGGGAGAACCTGCTGGGGTTCCAGCTCGGGCGCAAGGGACGTGGGGTCACTGGAAGACGGGAAGCGGGCCGCCGGTGGGGAGGAGACTGGACCCGACCCCGGCCCGCCCCACCCGAGTGGCGACGCCAGCGCTGCCCCCAGGCGTGTCCTGGCCCCCGGCGCGGCTCCGGCCCAACCGAGCACGCCCGCGGGCGCTTCCCCTGCCCCGGGCAGGAAGCCTCCCACCCGCGTCGGAAGTGGCCTGCCCGGGGCCACCGGCCTGCAAGTCCCCGTGTTCTCGAGGTCCCTGCCTCGTTGTCCCGCGCACCTGTGGCCGGCGGGAGGGGCTGAGAGGAGGGTTGTGCTGGGACCTAAGGCCCCGCCCCCTCGCCAGCCTCTCCCTTCCTCGGTCACCCGGTGGCCGGAGACCCAGGGGCATTGCTGGGGTACCCCAAAGCATAGGGTTAGCCTGAGTGTAGAAGGTCCTGAAAAGACAGGAGGGGGCGACAAGGAGTAGGGAGGGTGGCTGGGGGAAGACGGCAAAGTGACCCCGGAAGGGTCCAGGCGCCCCAAGCCCATCGAAGACTGGAAGCCCTCAGTGAGGCCTGGGGGGACTGTGGGAAAAGAAGCTCAAGAAGGGGAATCTGGAGCGAGGTGGGGGAGAGGTCAGCACGGCCTTCTCTAGGAGCGCCAGCCCCAGACAGAGCGGTGACAGGCTGCATCGGGGGTACCCCATCTATCCTGAATTGGCCAGGAGTGTGGGATCCCGTGGAAGGGTTGTCCCCAGAGCAGGAGCAATGGCCCTCTCCCTCCCCTCCACTTGCTCCCCTCAAAAACCTTCTGGAAGAGGCTGGGCGCAGTGGCTCACGCCTGTAATCCCAGCACTGGCAGGCCAAGGTGGGCAGATCATGAGGTCAGGAGTTTGAGACCAGCCTGGCCAACAGAGTGAAACCCCGTCTCTACTAAAAATGCAAAAAATTAGCTGGGCGTGGTGGCAGGCACCTGTAGTCCCAGCTAGTCGGGAGGCTGAGGCAAGAGAATCGCTTGAGCCTCGGAGGCAGAGGTTGCAGTAAGCTAGAATGGTGCCACTGCACTCCAATCCGGGTGTCTCAAAAAAACAAAACAAAGAAAAGAAAACCTTCTGGAAGAATTATCTGACTTTGAGGATCTAACCCTTCTTGCTCCCAATGCTTCCTAGCAGGGCCTGCACCCCAGGGCGGGTACTTACTGCAGTCCCCCACCTCCAGCTCTGCATACCTACAGCCCAGTGCCCGCTCTTCCCCCTCAACCTCCCTGGAGTCCCTGTGCACCCATTTTGTTCTGTGCCTGTCCCTGCCCTGACTGTGTGGGCTCAGGTAGCTTTGTGGGGTGTGCCCCATGTGTCCCATGTGTTATAACCCTGATGGTCTGGAGCAGAAGGCGTGGGGTCATCTGTGGATAAAGGCGTGGGGTCATCTGTGGATAAAGGGTGGTATTCAAGCAGGGTCCCCAC